GAAGGGAAGAGTAATTGGGAATGAGATAGATGGGCTGAAGAAGACTAGGTCAAACCTAATCTCTCAAGTCGCCATGACATCAGGATGTTGAATTCTATGCTGAGAAGACATTGAGGAGTTTTGAGCAAAGGAGGAAAAGAGCCAAGTTCACATTAAAATAACTCCCGTTGTCAAGACTACACAAGAGATACAAGAAGCCTCCTGGGAAGCCATCTCTGTAATCTAGGTGAGATGTTGAGCCTCTCCAGGTGTGATAACTCAGAGAGAAGGCAGGCAGGCGGAGACAAAAGTGAAGGAACCAGTCAGTGCCCCAGGGTCTACCTGTCACCTGAGTGAGAGTCCTCTGGAGCAGTGAACATTAATAACCCATTGATTGGCCGTTGTTGCAACATCAAAGAGAAAGAACCATAATGTCGGATGCATAGTAGGTGCTCGGCGCTGGGTGGTTGACCTCTGTGGAACAACACAAAGCAGAAATATTAAAAAGAAATCTGGTATTTTGAGAGGCCATCCTTTTGGTAACACGGAAATGTCTTTGCTTCACAGCTGCCTCCTCTGACCAAGCTCTCCCACCAACACATTTAATTTATGAATTGGCATAATTAAAATGTGCTAATGTCCTCAGAATGCTTCGGATTCCCATGGGATGCCTTAAATTAAAATGGCAGAATAATAATGATTCCACAGAAACATTTTTTCATCTCATACTCTTATGAAGTGAAAGTACTATTTCTGTGTTTTCTATTCTAAGGCTTAAGATTGAATGTAACTGAAAAAAAAAAGTTCTTTCTTTTTCTTTTCTTTCTTTCTTTTTTTAGGGAACAACTTAATTCTTTACTGGAGGCTTATAATGTTTTCTATGAAAACCAGAAAAATCTGCACATTTTGTATGGACAGGTAAGCCCACTAAAGAAATGCAACAGCTTGATTCACAGAGTCTTTACCATGTAGCTGAGTCGGGGTGAGCTGGAGCCTAGAACCTAGGGACACGTGGGGGTCTCTATAAGCAGATAAATCTCTAATTTATCCTGACTGTCATGTTTAGACTAGTTCACAAAATAGTAGGCCTGGAATGCCTGCGAGTTTGTAAGCCTTCTTGGCAAAGGAAAGCATACAAAAAAATAATAATATTAAAGACACATTTGCTTTCTGTTTTAAAATGGAATGTTTCTCATATAATGGATAATGTTATGAACAGTAAGCCTAATACTTTCTTACACTGAAAGCAACATGTCTGTGGAGCTGTGTGCACTGTGACACCATTTGCAATGAGAAAATGTGACAGTGCCCTTGTATCCACCAGTGTGATATTATTATAACAAATCATGCTGTACCTGTAAAGCCGAGATTGATTCCTTCATTAAAATGAATAAGTTGAGTTCCGGTGAATGTATGCTATCTTATAATGTCAATAATCTTAAAATGTTAGAAAAATAGTTCAGAGGTTAAATTGCCTAAAAATTGGCTTTTCATAATCACCAATGACTTTCTAATAAAACTTTCTAGTTTCTATACTCTCAAAGTTTCTATAACAATAATATATTACCTTAATAAAAAGATATTTAGGGCTAGAGAGATGGCTCAGTGGTTAAGAGCACTGACTGTTCTTCCAAAGGTCCTGAGTTCAATTCCTAGCAACCACATGGTGGCTCACAACCACCTGTAATGAGATCTGGTGCCTCTTCTGGCCTGCAGGGACACATGCAGGCAGAATACTGTATACGTAATAAATAAATAAATCTTAAAAAAATGATTTGAATTTATAAAAAAAGATATTTAACATATAAAAAAGAAGATAGGTTTGAAAATAAATTGTATGAGAATTGCTTTGTTCATAACTTTTCTTTATGTATTTGCAAAATATATATATACACCTGTTTGCTAATTTTTCTTCACTCACACATTTCCTCCTTTTGTTATACTATTTCTATTTTGAATGAGTACTTACTTAAAACTATTAATTTTTTTCCCAAATGTATTCTGTGTGTGTGTGTGTGTGTGTGTGTGGTGCATGCACAAAAGTATGCAAGTATACATATCTTGTTCACAGGTGAGGAGACCAAAGCATAATGTCTCTGGCTATCACTCCTCTCTTTGTTGCCTTGAACCAAGGTCTCTCACTGAACTGGAAGCTTACTGCTTCAGGCTAAACCATTCAGAGAGCTCTAAGGCTTGACTGTCTCCAGCTCCTGGTGCTGGGGTTATGGACAGACACAGTCATGCCAGGTTTTCACACATGGTCTGGGGATTTGAACTCGGGTTTCCACTTTTCTGTTTTGTATCATATAGTGTGTTTTTATGGGCCTTCTTCTTCTTTTATTGAGATGGACTCTCAGTATATAGCCCTAGCTAGCCTGGAACTATACACTAGCTAATATCCAGAGATCTCACACCCACCTCTGCCTCTTTGTTGATTTTAAAGACAGGTGCCACCACCATCGTACCTTAACAAGCAGTCTTTTTGTTCTACATAATTTTATGAGTCAATTTATTCCTATGTATTCAAACAACTAAGGCTCTCAGTGACTAGTTATTCTGATTTCTAATTCAGTATAGTTTTTAAATCTGCAATACTTTTAAATTAAATGGAACTAAAATAATATAATGCCACTTAATCCAAGAACCAGAGCTCAGAAAGCATGGAATGCACTGTGCCTGTTGGTGGACATGCCACAGATACTGTGGCTTATTGTGCCAGGCATACTGTCTTAAAAATGAAAGGCTCTGTCAAAATTAGAATTGGTTTTGCAGATAGCCTGGGAAGCCACATAATCCACCCTAAGAGATGCATAAACCTAGAAATAGCTCCTATAGACTTGCTTTCTACATCTTCAGTTAAAGCATTGAACTTTCTATAAATGATGCGAGACAATTAGTGTGGGTAATGTCTTCTTCCTTAGACCGAAGATGGACAACTGATTGTTGAAGGAATGCTGGATATCTTCTGGGGAGTAAAACGACCCATACAGCTAAAAATACAAGATGAGAAGCACATCTCTTCTTTTGATCTGTTGAAGTCATCGGAAACATTTTCCAGCAAAGGGTAAGCTGTCCTCCCTTGTAGCTCCTCAGATGGCCTCACACTCTGTCTTCTTTGTTTACGCTCTTAGCACAGGTTGCTTATAGCTGTGCATGAGTGCTTATGGACAGTCTCATATCACTGTTATCAGCTAAGTATTTGGAAACCGTGTCTCTGAGGTTAGGCGAATTTGCGCATGATCCCTAGTTAGCCACCTGGCAGGCCCAAAGGGACCTTAGTTCCATGAGCTCCACAGCCTATGCTTGTGGGCCTTTCTGCTCCATGGCTTGTCCCGGAAGACCGCACTTGCTCACTAGAAGAAACACGATAGGAAGGTAAGATTTGAATAGTCCCTAGCTGACCTTCAACAACTGCGAAGGGAACAAATTTGTCCGCTCCTTGGAGTAAAGGGCTCTTCTTGTTTTCTGGAAAGAAGACTGGATTATGTTCATGTTCAGAATAAGTGGAGCTGTTTAGCCTAACACAGCAAAGTGCGTTTGTAATTCATTGCACATAACAGTTCCCTGCATGGGTGGATCCAGCTATACCTTGAATGTCTGACTTTGGTCGGGTTTTGTCATTCTCCTTTGTAACTTTTTTGAAAATTAATAATTATTCCAAATTGTACTCACAAAAGGGCTCACTTCCTTTCTTCTGCATCTTTATTGCCATCTCACCTCCCTCTGACACCTGGACCACTACAATTCTCTTCACACCTCCTAGCCTCTCATCCATTCCTGGAGGAGAAATGGACAGACAGCTACCAGGATGATGCACTAGAGTGGTCTGACCTTTGGCCGCATATAAGGAATTTCAGGTACCACCTTAGAGAATATACCCGTGATTTTTACCTTTCCAACATTTGCCAAACCTCATTCTTGAACAAGGCTGAACATTTTGCGGTGCCCTAAACACGCCATTCAGCTTCTTATTCTCCTCACTCTGCCTGCCTGGAAGCCAGCCCGCTTATCCATGGCCCGTTCTCTTAGTCGCCTCTAACAAATTCAACACATTCTCCTGAAAGCCTTCCGTGATCCCTCAGTCCATACTGAGCGCACTGACCTCAGTGTTCTTTATCACCTCCAGGGCATAGAGTTTGCTGGACTTTTACACATCTTGTCCTCCATCTTCAGTGTGAGTTTCTAGGAAGGCATCTTGAATTGTCTCTGCATCTCAGTGCCCAGAACAGAGAGGAAGAAAGGAAGGGAGGAAAGAGAGGAATGAGAGATGGGAAGAGAAAGGGATGGAAAAAGAGAGAAAGAGGGATATAGAAATATGACAGATGGAGAAAGAGTGACTGGAGGGGATTGGACCAAATGAAGTCCCCATGAACCTACAAATAAATTATACATTCTTTGTGTGACAACCATCCCACCCCATCTGCCTTTCCTCACTTGTCTCCCATCCAAGCTAAGGGCTGCCGGTGGGCACAGGACATGGAACTTATGAGCCCGAATGGAACCACGACCTCAGGCAGCATATGAAACCCAGCATCCCACAAGCCCAAGATGGCTGACAAGGCTGGTCACTCAGATGATTGGAAGCAGCATTTAAGAAGGATGGAGCCTCGCTTTAAAAAAGAAACTATACACAATATGAATTCACAAAACTAGTGATTGTATTTCACGTCTTTCTCAGAACTCATGGCAAAGTTCTTTGAGAAGCCAACCCTTTTGCTACATTTTAATTCCTTTTGGTTTATTAACACTTCCTAAGTATGAGGCATTAAAGTGATAGGCCAAGGAGGTAGAACGCGCTTACACTGGTTTGTGACGCCATTATTATTTTAATAGCTATTCAAAGATGTTTTAATTTCTCAAACTCACAATACGAGTTTTGAGTTAAAAATGCTGAAATTCTGGTGATTTTTAGGAACTGGGGGTGGAGGGACAAGGTGATGCTGATGATGCTCTTTCGTGTGCTGTAGTGGACTGTAGACTGCCATCCTCACACCGCATCTTCTGCAGAGCCCGTTTTCACTGTGAACACTGCTGGGATATGAGGAACCCTTCTCCTCACCGTGGCCGAACATGGCAGAAGCAGCATACAGGCAGGGAGGAGGATTTGGGCTCACCATTTCTCATGTGCAGACCATCATGGTAGGAAAGGCATGGGAGCTGGAGGGACTCTGTCCATAGCAGTGGGAGCCTGAGCCATAGCTTGTTCATATCTCAGCAAAGCAGGAAGCAGTGAGTTCTGATCAAAGTGTCTTCGAGGTCTGTCCCCAATGAGCCACTTCTGCAAGCTAGGCCATGGTCTCAATGACTCCGCAACCTCCCCAGAAAGCACTACCAGTTGGGGTCCAGGTGTTCAAACACCTCAGCCTATGGAGTACATTTCACATTCAAGCCTTAGCAGCTTAAAAGCAAGACAGAAGTTATTTCTCATTATTCCAAACTGAGAAAATATAGCTGGACAACTGCAAAAGCCTGTGATTCACGGTAGTAACCAGACATATACTAGAACACTGTGGGTATTGACCTGTTCTTTACCATAGTAACAAGACCTTCTAGAACATTATAAGAATGCTTGTGCCATCAACCATATCTTTCTAGTGAGTAAGAATTAGCAGGAAGAGATCCCACCCCTTATGCATACAATGCAGACTGTCTCTGTCTCTCTTTGTCTGTCTGTCTGTCTGTCTGTCTGTCTGTCTGTCTGTCTGTCTCTCTCTCTCTCTCTCTCTCTCTCTCACACACACACACACACACACACACACACACACACACACACACGCATGATAGCATTATTTGGTTGTGATTGGTTAGTCAAGAGGGCCTGATGGAGTCAGCTGAGCATTCAGGCAGGGAGGTACAGCACAGGAGGAATGGACTTCCCTGGCCTCTGACTCTGAGGGTGCACAGACACCTCGGCACTGTTCCCTGACTTCAGTTCCTCTCAGGTTCCCTTCCTTGATCACCTCCTTTAAGGTGACTCATTTAAATTCTGTACCCCAATTAAATTGTGTAAAGGATTTGACCGTTCCCTTATTCCAAACCTTCTCTCATTTTCCTTTCCCCAAACTGCTGTATCTACGGACAGAAGTTCATACCACTGCTCAGATTTTCTGTCCCCCATGGGTTAGTGGACAGTGAAGGACAGGGACAGTGTGTGCTCAGCCACAATGACTCCAGTTGTGTGCCTGTCCATTCATCCTCTGAGAAAACGCACCGTTCATGCCGTGTTAGTTTGTTTGAATCGTATTAGAAATGAGTCACACTGAGGAAGTACTAGCCAAGTGGGAATGGTAGAGGCTGCAAAATCAATCGGTTTGTTTGAGCTTGGACCATGTATGTGCGTGGAAATGACTCTAGAGGAGGACTCTGAGCTCTCGTATCTCTGCCAAATGTTTTCTTACAGAAGTTGTGTCTTTAAAATGCAACAGACAAGAAGTGCCTCACTGGGGCCACTTTCGCTTTTGCTGGTTTTCATTTCTGTTTTGAGATCTTTCTAAAGTCTATGTTGGCATGTTTTAGACAAGCCGTGGCAGAAATAAAGAGCAAGAGGTGAACAGGTGTGTATTTGATTTGCGTCGATACTGGTTTTTTCTCTTCTCATGTTATACGTAGGGAAGTAACTGCACTCTATTTGTCTATCAAATTTCTACCTCCGTTTTGTTTTGCAAAACATTACAGCCCCTCTCCGGTGTTTAGATTGGCCCCAGGTATACTTCCTGGTGCTTGGTCAGAGCAACACAAACTGCCCCATGCTTGGACATGTTCAACTGTTTATGCTAAAGTTCTAACCAGTTCTTGCTTGAAAAGTATGGGCAGCTGCCCTTAAGCTTAATCATATGTACAGGTATATGGAATGGTTCTTGAATCACACAATCCCAAACTGTGAAGCAGCTGTTTCTGACATCAACAATGAGTGGCAGGGAGGAAAGAGGCAAAATGAATATATTGAGCTCTTCTTCAGCCCCTGTGTTTATGTGGCACCATTATATTTGAAGAAGCTAAGGAAACTGAGTGGGTGGCTGTCACATTTGCCAGAGTCACTGACCAGCTCTGGGGATCATAAGGACTCATTATCTGCAGAACTTCTGGTCTCCCTGTAAGAAACAGTACCTGGTTGCTTTGCCTTTTAGTTTTAACTTCCCATTGGTGTCCAGTTCCCACTGCCATGCCTCTTATAATAGCTTCAAACATGACTACTTTAGTGCTAATATGCTGTACACTGGAGAAAATGTTAATTTTATGTGCCATATGAATAGGGTGTGGGTAGAGAACCAAACTGTTCCTCTACTTTATGGCATGTATTTTGACTGGCAATATTTCCACATAGTAGAGTTGGCTCAAAATTTTATTATCAAATATGTTATGATCATATTATCTACTTTGTATGGCTGTTATAAATGAAAAAAAGAGTTATAAAAGACTTCATGAGAATTCCAAGACCAAGAGGAAAACAATAGCTTTGCTTTGCCAGTGTCTTCCACTGGTGTTTATAAGATGAAAAACATCAGTGTGTTGATTATTTTTCTGTTGCTATGATAAAGCGTCATGACCAAAAGCAACTTAAGGAAACATTTGTTCTGAGGGATAGAGTCCATCATGGTGAGGAAGGCATAGCATGGCTGTAGGAACAGGAAGCTGTGATCACGTTGTCCTGCACACACAGATATGAGAGAGAGAGAGAGAGAGAGAGAGAGAGAGAGAGAGAGAGAGAGAGAGAGAAGAGCGCGAGCGAGCAGAAAGCAGCCTATGGCTCCAAATTCTCAAAGTCCACTCAATAGTATTCTTCCTCCAGCAAGACTCAACTTTCTAAACTTCCCCATACCAATAGAGGACCAAGTCTTGAAATATATGAGCCTTTGGGGAAACGATCATTCAAATCATCAGTCAGGGACATTTGGGTAGAGTTAAGGTCACAGACACCCCACATGCAAATACTTGGATTTCATACTATAAAGAATTTTATAGAAGAGACTCAAAGCAGGACAAAAAACATTCATGAAAATAATAGTGTCCATTTGCCTAGAGAGGTCCAGAAATGAGCTGGACCCCAAATTGTGCCTGATCCATCATGAAATGAATTCAGATGGTGGTGGTTTCAGTGATGATGATGATGGTGACGATGACGGTGGTGATGATGGTGATGATGATGATGATGATGATGGTAATGGTAATGATGATGCCACTGAAAATGAGATTATTCTGAAAATATTTTAGATATAAACTGAGAGCTTAACTATACACAAGGCATTATTTCAAGAATATTATATAAATTAACACATTAAATTCTACCAGTAATGCTATTTATTCTACCTCATACAATGATTATTTTCATTTTATAAATGAGGGCACTGAGGCCAAGAGAGGATATGTTACTAACTTAAGGCCAGATAACTAAAATCAAAATGAATGTTAATCTGCTATTAAGTAAACAATTGTCATGTTCCATGTATTCTGGGCACTAGAATATTCTGAAATTTGCTAATATTCTACATGAGATAACAATTTTCTAGGAAGAAGTTTTTCATACATTTCCATTTTGTAAATTGGAATCTTGTCATGATAGTCACTTTATATAATTATTTTAATGCTGTAGATACTTGATTCATGAGCATAAATGACAATTTTGTATCTAAATTTCCCTTTATGAGATGTCTGTGTATCAGTGGCTCACAGTGGTTTCTACCAATCCTATCTAAGCATACATTTTACAGAATCTATGTAATTTTGCATTTCAGTGTATCGCTGAATTGTTTTGCTCCAAAATATACAGAGTGTGTTTAAAACACGCTTATCACTGTGGTATGCATGTAATCTTTGTAACAGGATAAACTTGTTTTAAATTTGAATAACAAGGCCACCTACAGAGGCCTACAGCGACAGTATCACAACACTGTAAGTCTGAGACCCATCATGTGGAATTAGTCTCAGTGACAGGATTTGTTACTTTTCAGGCGGATGACTCGCTGGGGAGAGTTTGATGACCTTTATCGTATCAGTGAGCTGGACAGGAGCCAAGTTCTGCTGTCTGAAGGAAGGCATTCCCCAGAAGGTCAGTATCAAAGTGTTATTAATACGGTGTAATTTTTAACAATATGAAACACGACTCCTAAATGTTTGCCTACCATACAGTACAACTTGATGAACTCATATTTATGCACTTCTTAAGCATCCCCAAGGGGCCTTGTATCTTACATCACTGTGTTGCTTGTGTGGTACATTACTGGCCGTCCACTAGTCCAAAGCATATTGCCGCTTTGCTTTCATGAAATTAGGGACAAATTCTGTCTCTATATTTCATGAGAATGACTTTTCAAGAATGTTTCAGTAGCTTTTAGAAGGGAACAAAGGTCCAAGATCTGTCTTCTTAGGAAAGGTCTAGTAAGCTTGGCGTCGGGACAAAACAGAGATGACAGGCCTGGTCTATCACTCGGGAGTACTGTATTCATAGAAAAGCTGCTCAACTCACTCTGTTTTTATCTTACCTAAGTTCTGACTGACAGAAAAACATGTTTTTCCAGTTCTTCCATACTAAAATTGTGCATAATTTGCACCCCCCCCAAAAAAAAGAGATTAAAAGAGTGGAAACACCAATCACATGGTCACATAAATCCTGTGAGACATAACTCACTAGCAGCATTTGCTGCCTGACCAATCTCACACAGCACCTAATAAGTCAGTGTAAGCCCAGCAGTGAACCACAGTGCTTGGAAACGGCCAGGAAATAGGAGCCATCCTTGTTACTAAAAGCATACCAGTATCCCCACCATGCAAGAAGATAGGCAGCTAAATGATGCTGGCTTGTGATCTTTATTCTTCCCAGACTATTTATCTTATCACAGCACCCTGAAGCCATATGCAGACGAAGAGCCAGAATCCCCTCTGCTCTACAGGACCATGAGTGAGGCAGCTTTGGTGAGAAAAAGGATGAAGGCTCCCTCGATCTACAGAAAAGACAGGAACAGCCACAGAGCCTCCATCAACGGACACTTCTATGACCATGAAGTAAGTCACAGTTCCGTTAATGTGGAATAACGCTGTCCATTGCTCTAACGATGCTGTTTGTTTCAACTTGGAATTTAGACCAATGATAAGAATGTTTGTAGATGCCTAGCACTCCTCAGTCTTCCCCTGTGGTGACTCATAAACTAAGTTTAAATCTGATCTTCTTCACATCTCTCTTTGTTTAGATGTTTTTAAGCACAGATTTAAATTAGATACCTGCACAGGTTCAAGCCAGCTGGGGTCCCTGTACTGAAAGTGGGGGAGATACACAGGGCCCCGTGTTATTTGCAATTGATATGGGCTGGCAAAGGAAAAATGGAGTGTCACTGTGTATGTCAACACATTCCCACATTCCAGGACAGGCCCCATGCCCAGGAGTAGTTGGCCAATGCAAAATGAACATTTTTTTTTTATGTGCATTAGTGTTTTGCCTACATGTCTGTCTGTCTGTCTGTATGTATGTATGTATGTTTGTATGTATATATATATGAGGGTGCCAGATCCCCTGGAACTGGAGTTACAGACAGTTGTGAGCTGCCCTATGAGTGCTGGGAATTGAACCTGGGTCCTCTGGAAGAGCAGCCAATGTTCTTAACTGCTGAGCCATCTCTCCCGCACCCCCCATTTGGCAGAGGGGGAGCTTTTTGGTTCATTTTGTTTGGGCATTTGTTGTCTTGTTGGTCTTTTCGGTTTGTTTTGACTTTTGGTTTTGGGTATTTTTTCTGCTATTTGAGAGAGAATGAGAAAGGGATAGAATATGAAGTTGAGTGGCTAGGGAGGGAGGTGAGGAGATCTGGGGAGAACTGGGAGAGAGGAAAACATGATCAAAATATATTATATGAAAGATTTTTAAATAAAAATAAATAATGAATTAAGTAGCCCCTGCTTGCCAGGTACATGCTATAGAGTTCAGGCTGACCTCAAACATAACCTCCTCCTGCCCATTCTCCCAAGTATTAAGAGTATAGACAAATACACCTAACTTTAAATGTATTTTAAATAAATTATCTCATTAATCCTAAAAGCTCTCCTATCAGGGTAGGTATTGTTATTTTTTTCTTCTTTACATATAATCAGCATTTACAGTCATCAAACAATTTCTCTTGAGTCACACTGCTTTTAACAATAACTCTGAACTTGAATCCATATTTGTCTCCCTCCAAAACTCAAAGTATTAGCCAGTGTGATGGGTGAGTCCCACCTAGGTGCTGGGTGCTGAACTGACCCTTTGAAATACATAGATGAGCTTCTTGAGGCGTGGGTACAAAGCTTCAGCAGGAAAACCAACACACCAACAAACAACATCCAAATCCCATGAAGGCTCCCACTGAGATTGGTTTAGAGACATTCAAACTGTTTCCTTTGCCCAATCAAACATCGCATTTTTCATCCTGCCCTTTAGATCTTGTACTTATATGTAAAATGTTCATACAAGTGTGGCTATAGTTTAGAAAAAATTTCCCTTCTGATTTTTTTTTTTTTTGCTAAGATGTATAAAATTTTCACAGGTCTTCCTATAACACTTATAAAACATTTCACTTGTTGAAGGTTGAGAAATATATCATTAGTTCTCCCAGAATTCAAAGATTTTTTTCATGCCATGCATTTTAACAATCACTTGTATATTCATTCATTTGGCAAATACTTAAAAGTCCTCTGCAAGTGCAGCAAGTAAATCTCACCAGGGACCCATCTCTCAGCCCCCTAAACATGGGACATTGATATCATATCATTTAAAATTAATTTTTATGACTTTCATAGGAGTTAAGTCATTATTTATAAAGGCCTTAGAATAGTCTTATACACTGTTTAGTATATATCATTCAAATAAATAGTGTTTATTTGAAAACTCTGTGACATCATTAGGAGTGATATCACTTCTCGGGATTATGTAGTCCATTTCATTTCGGGTTCAAAATACTAACCATTGTTCTTCGACGGAGTCTTATGATCTTGTTATTGTTCTTTTAGACATCTATTTTCACCCCAACCTTTGGATCAGAAACCAAAGTCAGAACAAATAGTAACATGAGAACTGAAGAAGTAATAAAGCAACTTCTCCAAAAATTTAAGGTAACCTTTCTCACTAGCCTGAGCTCTCATACCTGTGAGCAAGCTGATGGAGACACATACATGCACTCTTCTGAAAAAGTCATGGTCCATGAGCCAGCATCTTATGTTCAGTTCTGGTGGATCTTTTCCACAGAGCAACAAAAGCCTGGAAACTCATGTGGTCCCCCAGGAGCAGAGAAGACATGTCTGAGGCGAAGGGCCAAGTGGGACACGGCTGAATACTTAGGGTCTAATTGAATCTAGCATCATCTGACCCAATTGCATTTCTTCATTTTTTTTTTCCATTGACAGATTGAGAATAGCCCTCGGGATTTTGCTCTTTACATTATTTTTGGAACAGGAGGTAAGAAAATTTAATCCCTTTTTCTACCTGGGCTCCTGCAAGTTAGTTTTCAGTTCATAAAGACAGAAGAGGCTTGATGCTGCCATAAAAAAAAAAAAAAAAAGGAAAGATACAGATTACAGGAGAGGCAGGAAATGGTTCATTATCATTGTTATTTACAGAGTTATTGGTGCAAGCTAAACACACACCAAAGCTCTGAGCTACCCTTCCATCATGGAGAAAATGATGCTAGAATAGAATATCACGTATCTTCTCCAGTTCCAGAGAAAGATAAAGTAAGAACAAACACCTTCAGAGTTTATAATACAGAGGACTTGGCTTGCTTGTCAGACGTTGTCTGAGTGGAGATCAGACCATCAGGAACCCATTTGTGGGGGGCTCTCCAGGAGGCGTTGGGCCCCTCGTCTATGTCACCTCTATACTTGGTTCCTTCTCCACCCTGCTCCTTGCCTTGGTCGTCACTGCATGCCACCTCTCTCTGGCCTTGTAAGTTCGCTCTTTGGTATTTGACACTGAGTCTGACACATTGGAAGAAAATGAGCTCTCCCTCAGTAGAGAACATGTTCAGAACGTAGTGGGGGATATATGTTTTCAGTAATGGTTCCAAATCATCATGAAGCAAGGAGCTTAGGAATGGAAAATATGGAAGCAACTAAGGGTGTGAAACCAAATTAGCTTTCAATGTAAAGGTCAAGAGAGGACTCTGCTGTGCTGAGGAGAGGAGCAGAGTCATGTGGGCTTCCTGTTGCTTCAGAAGAGGCAAAGGGATGAAATCAGCACACACTCAATTGGAATGAAAATGGGAATAAATGGAATCCAGAGATGAGAAACAGATTTGACTATTCTGAGGAAGGAAATGAGAAAAGGGGGAATGAGAAAAGAAGATCAATTGATGGACACTGGGGGCTTTTCTGTCCTTTTATTAAAATGAAGTCCCAGATGGGAGATTTGACAAAATCTCTACTTTGACAAAATGCCAGTACTTTTGTGGTGGAGCATTTATCGTAATGTTTTAAATTTGGAATTCTGAGAATATACCAACTTTTGGTTTCCTTTTCATGGCTGAATGGATGAAACCCATAGATAATGAAAAGGACTCATCTTACTAATTCTGCATTTGTAGTTCAGTTCTTGGAATACCCAAAAATTGAATATGAGGTCGAAACTAAAGGAAGAATTAAGAAGAACTATAAAAATGAATTTATATTAACCAAACTTGAAAATAAGTATTTGTTGAGTAGATGAAGGAAGGAAGGAAGGAAGGAAGGAAGGAAGGAAGGAAGGAAGGAAGGAGGGGAGGGGA